CACTCGTGCGATCGAATCGAACAGATCGTGTGTCAAACCCTATTCATCGATTATAGCTTAAAACTTTCTTTTATATTCGTCAACGACTTGCGGCGCTTAATTTTTCACGTTCGATTTTCAGTTCCAATATATCGTGGCGATTTTTCCAACCAACCGCTGCTTTCGTTGAATGAAGGATCGCCATTCAATTTCTTGTTGAAAAACAACGCTTTTTCGGCAACAATTGGTCGAAACAAAGGAACACCTTCGCTTCTTTTTTGAACAAACCACAAATACAGAGCCGTGACGAGTGATTCATTTGTGGCTTTTTTCATTGTCTTACGACGTTTCACCCGGCCATCCATTTGCGAAGCATACTTTTCAATTCCTTCAGCATTTTTCTTTAAACCATTGATTTTTGTTCTCGGAACATCGTACTTTTTGCTCAATGCGACAGCAGAAACACCTTTCTTTAATTCTGCAATAATTTTTATTTAATTTTTTTCCATTGACAAAACAACACGTTTTATTTTTGATGCACCAGATGTGGAAGGCTCCATTTTTCTAAATTTAATTGATCAAACGACTAAGTGACACAATCAATTTGAATCAAACTGAATTATCGTGACACACAGATATTGACTGTAATAATTATTGTGCTGGGCGTTTTTATTTTCGACTTGCGATTCTAAAACTAGAACTCTTAAAGCACGGTATGATTTATCATTACCTATTTAAATTGAAATTTAATCCAGAGCCCTAAATAAGTACAAAAATTATTTACATAAAAAATGCGGTGGTTACATAACTGCACGACTACATTTCAACGAATTTCGTTTGGCTTATCGCAATGTTTAAATAAAATGAATTGACGACTCATTTTTTACTTACGTAGTCAATATAACCTATGTATGGACCCTGACGGTTAACAGAGGTGACGGTTAATAGAGAGTCGGATAATAGAGGTTCCACTGTATATGTTTTAAGTTTGAAAGCTCAGAAAATTACGCGGAGCGTAAAAAAATAGAAAATATCGAAAAAAAAAAGAAGAGTTACGCGGCTAACAAGAATAAGACGTCATTTTTTTAAATGGCCGAAAAATATACAACCTACATTTCAGAGATGACACAGCCCTTCTTGCAAATAGTCAAGAAAAGTTAATTGATCTCTTACGAATGTTTAACAACATAAGTCAAATATTTGGTCTGCAGGTAAACATATCAAAGACAAAGATCATGATAGTGGATAGATTACATATCAATCATCCACACATACCACAATTAACCGGTTTGAGGTTGGGATCTCATACTTATGTCTGGGATCATTGATCACAAACACAGGGTCACTACAGGAAGAAATAAAACGTATAATATGATCTAGCAAAAGTCGCCGTAGGAAAGATCGCCAAAATATGGAAGGACTTTCAAATTTCACGAACTTAACTACTTAATATTTCCAATACTGACATACGGATGCGAATCTTGGCCCCTACGACAAGCGGAAAGACAAGACGAAAGATAGACGCCACTGAAATGTTCTGTTGGAGAAGAATGTTATGAATTTCGTGGGCCGATCACCAAACAAATTATTTAATTTTGAATGAGCTAAAGGTCAAAATACGGCTCTCCAGCACTGTACATCTCCAGCAATAATTAAAATACTTTGGACATGTTATGAGAGCAGAAACAAAAAAGGTGGAAAGACTCAGAAAATATATTAGATGACATTTTATGTAGAACATGACATCAAACACTGCTAGGCATATGCCTCCACTGAACCGGTAATACTATACACAGTCCTCCAATTAAGAATGTTTATAATAACAGTTAATAAAAGCAAAAATCTAAAGTGCTGATTGGTTTGGCAACACGGGTAAACGACCGTCTTTGTTTTATCCGAGTTGGCAAATACTGCGATTTAAGTTATTTCTGTTATATCGTAACAATGTTACTCTGCACATATTTTGTTAGACATTTCGCGTCATGAGTTGTATTGATATTAATAGATATATAAGTTTATTGAAAGTTGCGCATGTAATAAATAATTCATTTTTTTTTTTATTTCAGAAAAATTTATTCCCCAGAATATCTTAAACAGAAGTTATACAGTAGTTCGAGATCAATTACAAAATAAGTTGTAATTTATTATTTCAATAAATACTGCCAAATTAGGTATTTGTATATTTTGTATGTGCAATAAATGCTCTAAAAATAATAAACAAATTTTCTTCTATTTGTCTATGTTCCATTCCTTTAAAGTTGTACATCCTTGTTCCTTGTCTTCAACTTGCTTTTTATTTAATAGGAAACTTTACTCAATATGCCGATCTTCGAAAATTGGCCTAAAACATACAACATGAATAAAGAATATAGTTAACAACAATAAAAGGAATGGTAAGATAAAGTGTATATGGACTAAACCTATTATTTTACCGAAATGATAAGTTTATATAAAAGTGGTATTCGCTAATCAAGTTCACCTAAGCAGTCAAATTTGCGAAGTAAAAATCCTACAAACCGTTGAGAAAGGAAAGGGATAGATCGTCCTGTTAGCTTCCCGACACTTGGAAAACAAAAATTAAAGCTAACAATCACAATACAGGGACAGAAATAAACGGAAACGAATTCAGAGTCAACTTTTGTTGCCATACCGAAAAAACCAAAAGCAAAGTCTTGTGATCAACATCGGATGATAAATCTAATTAACCACATTTCAAAGGCGTACACCAAGGTTATTTACAACAGAATAAGCAAAAAATGCGAGGATAACATTGGAGATTCGCAGTTTGTCTCCTATTCTCTTTAATATATTCTCAGAAGAAGTATTTAAGACAGCGCTGGAGGAAAGCACAGAAGGCATAAAGATAAATGGAGAAATAATTAATAACATAAGGTATGCTGATGACACTGTAATTCTAGCAAGTAGCATGGAGGAAGTGAGTTGCCTAATCAGTAAGATACAAAAAACAAGTGCACAATAGTGATATTAGACAATGAAAGAATTGAACACGTGGATTCGTACATCTACTTGGAAACAACAGTTAACTCAAATTGGGATCAAGCGAAGGAAATACGTATAAGTGTAGAAAATGCAAGAGCATCGTTCACTAGCATGAAGCAAATTTTTACCTCTAAAAGCCTCACCCTACCTCTCAAAATTCGACTTCTGAAATGTTATGTATTCCCGGTTTTGTTATATGGAATGGAGGCGTGGACAATGACCGCAACATTGATGAAAAAAGTAGAGGCCTTCAAAATGTGGGTTTACCGACGTATATTACGTATATCCTGAACTGAGCACGTGACCAACGAAGAGGTACTACGCCGGATAGGTAAAGAGAGAGAGGTAGGAATAAGTATAAAGAAAAGAATGTTGAAATACTTTTGTCACGTTATGAGACATAATAAATATAGAGTACTACAGCTGATCGTTCAAGGGAAAATAGACAGCAGAAGGGGTCCAGGGAGGAGAAGACACTCGTGGCTCCAAAACTTGCGGCATTGGTGCGGATTGTCATCTGCTGAACTATTCAGATCTGCCGTAAACAAAGTCAGAATAGCCATGTTGATTGCCAACGTTCGGAACGGACAAGGCACATGAAGAAGAAGAAGTGTAACAGTTCAAAAAAATGTATGAAATTTTCATGTAGTTAAAATTCATTTTAATTCAGAAAGCTGTAACTTTTATTCGACACTGTATAAGGTTTTTTAATTCTACATGTTCCACTTACATAATATTCAAACGTTAGTTTATCATAAACATTTGAACTCCGAACGGAGAAATGATTATTTATACGTCTTAAGTGCTATGACATTGCTTCGCTTTAAATAAATAGTATTCTTGAGGAACGGGAGCGCTGGAAGAAAAAGGTCGAATTCAAATTCATACCACCGCCTTTGGCGGTTTTTTTAGCTCGTAAAAGGAGTGTAGTTTATCGTTTGAGTATTTTTTGGCGAACAAAAGTATCTTTGTGTTAGTGACAGTATGGTTTTAGTTGTAGCCAACGAAACTGATTCCCCCAGTGCGACAGAGAAAACTAACGCAAAGCAGTCCCTGCATCTCCTTCTAATTTACCAGGTTTATCGACCACGTGACCTAAATGACCAATGAGATCACGTGATCGATAAATCCGGCCCATTAGACAGATATGCAGGAACTGCTTTGCTTACTTTTCTCCGTTGCACTGAGGGAACGGGCTGGTAGAGTAACGATCAGTCTATCTTGTATTATATGTCTATGATTTTAACTTACCATAGTCTAACTAATAAAACTCAAAACATCAATGTTTGTATTTTACGTCCTATGAGTCTTAAAATGTCTAACCAAATGTGCTTTCTGTGAGAATCTTTTATTACAAACGTCACATAAGAAAGCTTTTTCACCAGTGTGCACTAGCATGTGTTGGTAGAGTTGTCCTTTTGTAGAAAATGCTTTCGCACATTGATCACAGTGATAATTCTTTTCTCCAGTATGAATTTTTGTGTGGGTATTAAGATTACTTGAACTGGCAAACCTGCAACAAAAAAAACAAGGAATTATAATAAAAATTGTTGTAAGTCACAATATTCATTATTATTGGATTACATAAACCACAATATCGAAGCATAACAGAACGGAGTAGCAAATACGACTTCGATATGTTTAGTAAATACTTACAAGAAATTCTTATGTTTTAGATCAGGAGTGGCCAACCTTTCTTGAGAGTGTGCCACTATCTGTTTATGCAAAGTTATTTGTGCCATCAAAAATTTTCTAGCAAAAACTTCAATAGGTGGAATATGTACGAAATAACACAAAATATATGTAGATACAAATTTTGGTTTATTACTATCTTGGATTATACTTCCTTGGAATCTGTTTTGTTGCAGTGGGACCACTCTGCTGGGCACGGTCTTCTAGAGATAATCAGCGTTCATGTGGATATCTCCGGCCCGATGCTTAATCTTGAAATAGTATTCTTGGAGTCGTTTATTCTATCTGGCTATCTCTGACCATCTAGATTCTTAAACCGCTGGTGTGTTTCTTAATTTGTGTTGTAAGTAGGATGCTTACACGAACTTCGCACTTTTCCCATTTTACCACAATTTCAGTACCTTATGGTCTTTTGTTTTCTTGTATGCAATGCCTTTCATCCGATTAACAAGCATCAGATTTGTCTTCATCTTCTTTCTTTTTTTACAGTTCTAACTTTACTGTACCCACCAGAGGCCTGCGTAGCTGATTCATATTCGAGGGAGGAGTACAAGAGATTGACCAGCGGCTTGTTACGAGCTAATCGCAGTGTTCTCTGCATGTTTTAAGGACCTTAAAGTTTTATAAGCATATCGCACTAACTTGGCAATATCTAATTCATATTCTTGAACTGTGACCGGTAGACATGCTTTAAATATTCGTGACCATACAGCATGTTCACCTCTGTCTCTTCTACGGCTATGATCTGAAGCACATCCAAGGCATCTCCTCTAAGAGCAATAGTCAAATATACAGCCTTTTCTTTTTTGGACCATCCATTCGCTCTTGCTGCTGATTCGAATCATTTCATCTAGTTATTCCATGACGATTTCCGTCCAAAAATTGGGACATTAACACTAACAGAACCTCCACTCTCTTCAAACGACGGCCGTGGCTCCTCCACCTTACATGTCATCTCTATTGTAATTTATCGAATCCTGCTGCTGTTCCTGTTTCGTCCATCTTCTTTTCAATCTCTTTTATCTTTTTTTTTTTGAAAAGATGAAATATCGGCTGCAACTTTGTTCTCCAACGAACATATTTGATCGCCAAGAAAGAAATAAGTGGACCTTATTTTTTAAAGAAACAATGTCCGTAGAATTTTCTGAAGTATCACATGAATTTTTTCGTTCCAGAGAAGAAATATCGCTAGAAATTTTATTTTCTAAAGAAAAAATGTCCGTAGAAACTTTGGAAATAGAAGAAACTTTGCTTTCCAACGATGTGATATCACCGAAACTTTGCTTTCCAACGATGTGATATCACCAGAAACTTTCGAACTTGACACACCCCTCTTTTACGTCCTAAAGGACTATATACCAAGTTCCAGGCTCTACATCCTCTCTATCTGGAGTTATCTCTAATCTTGGACGCCAAATTCATTAGGGGCTTTTCTCAAGAGTTGTCGTACTGACTATCAGACAACGACACGATTTTAAGAAGGATGTACCGGGTCCTTAGTAACGACTCCCACCATTTACCCGCCCTTTTGTGAGTTACACGACGATGTAGATCGTGGATTATCACTATTAAGATCCCGTTTACGACTCTTAGAACGATTAGGATTATTTCTATTATTACAGGCTACATCAGACACTTGAAATTTGTAGCATGTAAATAGAGAAAAGATTTATTTCTACATAGCAAATAAACCGATACAACGGAGTATCTAAAGACCCGATAGAGACCAACTTGTAGAATACTAACAATTTGCAGCAGATTTATGGATAGTTATTAGTGAACCTGGTGTAATTCAACGATACCAGACTTTCATTTTTGCAAATTAAGCATCAAATTTGACAAAGCGTATGCGCCTATCATTATATGGCAATTGTCAAGACAACACTCTCTATCCGGAGTTTCTTCCTTGGGCCAAGAGGAACGTACAATATTGTGCGAATTAATGGAACCATTGTGACATTTTCCAATATTCACAGTTGGCAACACTCCACATATTTACAATTGAACAAGCATTGAAAACATAACCTTACTTTTCTATGCCTTTTATTTGAGGGTGTTTTAGGACATTTCCCACTAAGTTTGTGTTGTTTTCGGTGATTAGTGAGATTGTTTCTTTTAATTCTATCATAGATATTACGCCTAGGAAGCGTGAAAAGATTATCATGTTAAGTGAACACACTTCTATGCCACAAAGAGAAATCGCAATAACATGTGGGGTGAGTCAGGGGGTAAGCAAGATTTTGAAGTCTAAACGAGAAACTTGGATCAATGGATGTGAAAAGGTTAGGAAGAAAGATAAAAACAACACAGCAAATGAAATATTTTGACTTCGAAAGAGCAAATTGGGCCCAAGAAAAACAAGCCAAGAGCGTCAACAAGGTCTAACAGCATCAGGTGTAGTGATTGATGACTCAAGTGTCCGGAAAAGACTTTTGGGGAATGGTAGAAGGACAATGCGTCCACAGAAAAAACAGCTTCTAACTGAACGAATAAACAAACAAAGACTATTGTGGGCCAAAAAATAGTCTAATTGGACTGTAGACGAGTGGAGAAACTTCCTATTTACAGATGAAACTCACTTATAGTTTAGAGATAGCGGTCGAAATTCATCAGGAAGTCTGACAATGGAAGCCTTACACCATCTCATATTGATAAAACTGTAAAACATCCAGTCAAAAAAACGTTTTGGTTTTTCATACATGGGGTTAGATCTTTGGTACCAATCGAAGGCATAATGGACAGCCAAAAATACAAATCAATGTTGGAACAGCGTTTGGACATAGAACTCCAAAAAGGTCAGCACCAAGAAGTAGCAATTCTTCAACGGACTCTGCTCCCTGTCACAAGTCAAAGCAAATAATGGAATTTTTCAAAAATAAGAAGTAATTCGCAAGACCTCAACCCTATTGAAAATGTATGGGCCATTTGCAAAGCCAGACTGTGCAAAATCGCAGGTACTACAAAAATAACATGATAGAAGCAGTCACTCAGGTCTGGTTTCGATATGAAAGGACATCTGGGAATTGTCAGAAGCTCGTAGAATCTATGCCAAAACGAGTAAAAGCAATAATTGCAGCCAAAGGGGGACATATTTCCTACTAAATGATGTAAGTTTACCTTTATAGTTTTGTCAAAATATAATTTTTTTCCAAATAAGCTGTTTTTTTCGTTAAAACAGTCGCACATACATTCGCACAGTATTGTAATTATCGTTAAGGAGAGAACGATGCCAAAATTATTTATTCTGTTAAAAAATATTTACAAGATAAGTCGTATTATAATGAAATATACAAAATTTCAAAACTAGGACCTCATAACTGGAATGTCTTGAAGTAAAAACCAATAGTTACAATATTTGACTTGATCTTAAAATTAAAAATATGTACATACTATACGGAAATAGAATAAATCAGTAATTCTCTTTCAAAATTAAAAAGAATTTGACTAAAAGATATTGTTATGATAGCAACAGAATCATAACAAAACAAGGAACCATCCATTTTCACCTTGTGAGAAATAAGAGAATAGCAACACGAAAGGAAAAGGTGTATTGTACCGTACACAAACCTACGTGTAAATTTTGTGTAGCATTTTATTTACATTGGGAGCTTTTCTGTACAGCTTACATAATACAACAAGCCATTGATATTAATATCTGTAGACTTTGAGAAAGCGTTTGACTCAGTCCAGCATAGCTCCATGTTAAGAGCGCTTACAGAGTGCAGTATTGATCATAGGTACACAACTCTTCTTCGGAATATATATAATAGCGCAAGAGCTGCAGGTAGAATGTATTATGGCAACACAAATACATTTCCCTTCGAGAGGGGTATTAGGCAAAGAGATGCCATCTCTCTTAAGCTATTCACCGCTTTGTTGCAGAGTGCTATGAGAACCAATAATTGGGAGAATATTGGAGTCAACATAAATGGAGAGTTTCTGAATAACTTGAGATTTGCAGACGACATAGTCCTTATTGCAGACCGGGTAGATCATGCCTGCCAGCTTCTTCAAGACCTTCAGAGCTCGTGTACACGAGTTGGACTAAAAATTAATTTTTCCGAAATATGACCAATCTTGTACTGGCGAAAAACATCTCAACTAACGGCACGCAAATTAAACAGGTGTATAGTTATAAATATCTGGGCCACAAGATTAAATTAGGAAGAGATAATTAAACAAAGGAGCTAAAAACAGGAGAATAGGACTGGTATGGGCGGATTACGGAAAACTGAGAGAAGTCTGTAGATCAGATATTCCCATGTGCTTGAAAAGGAAGGTCGTTTATCAATGTGTACTTCCAGTTCTAACGTATGGAGCAGAAACATTGACCCTTACCAGAAAAGTAATCAATAAAATACAAATGGCACAGAGAGTGATGGAGAGGTCAATGCTGAATATATCCTTCAGAGACAAAGTATCAAATACAATAGTTAGGAGAAAAACTGGTGTTACTGACGCAGTTCAAAGGATTACAACATTGAAATGGAACTGGGCGGATCATGTTGCCAGATTAAAAGATGGAAGGTGGACGAAAGTAATACGTACGTCACAAATCACAACTACCGGTTCAATATATAACAAATCTGTGCAAATCCTAGCATATGCTGATGATATCAATATTGTTGGGAGAACGGAAAACGCAGCACGAGAGGCGTATGTAGCACTAAAGGAAGCGGCTACAAAAATGGGTTTAATAATAAACATTAATAAAACGAAATACATGAAAGTAGGTCCGCAACCACAAATACGACGGCCACTTGTTATAGAAAACGACGTCATCGAAGCAGTTAACGAATTTGTATACCTGGAAACGCTCGTCAATACTGAAAATGACATTACCACAGAGATAAACCGCAGAATTTGCACAGCTAATAGATGCTATTTTGGGCTTAATCTCCTTTTTAAATCTACAGCTATATCAAGAAATACAAAAGTAAAACTCTACAAAACAATAATACGCCCAGTCCTAACATATGGTTCAGAAACCTGGACTTTAACAAAAAGCAATGAAAACATGTTAGGATGTTTCGAAAGAAAAATACCGAGGCGAATCTATGGAGCGGTAAATGAAAATGGTGTCTGGAGAAGACGATACAACTTCGAACTCTATAGAATATACCAGGAACCAGATATCGTAAAACACATTAAGATAGGACGTCTGAGGTGGGTAGGCCATGTAATGCGGATGGAGCAAACCGACCCAGCTAGAAAAACGCTCCTTGATAGACCTATTGGTTAAAGAAGAAGAGGAAGACCCAGAACAAGATTCCTAGATAACATAGACCAAGATATGAGAAATATGGAAATACGTGCTTGGCGGAGGAAGGCGATGGATAGGGACGACTGGAAGAAAATTCTTTGGGAGGCTAGGACCCACACAGGGTTGTACAGCCAAAATGATGATGATGAGGTGGACGAAGAAAATTCTGGAATGGAGACCTAGACACAATGCTTATCGTGATCGAGGACGTCCTCCAACAAGGTGGTCAGATGACATCAAGCGCATTCAGCACAATTGGATTCAGGGTGCTCAAGATAGAATGCATTGGAATTATTTACGGGAGCCTATGTCCAGCAGTGGACTCAAAACGGCAGATGATGATGAAAGATATAAGAAAGAATCAATTTGTAATGGTCATTTTTGCTTGTAAGATGTAAATTAGTATATGCAATTAAATCTATGTTTCAGCTAATAATAAATATAGCTTGGATGTAACAATATAGTATTTTTGATTTCTCTAGCAATCTTCTTTTTCTTGAAACACTAATAAATAATTGCTAAAAGGTTTCTGAACCAACATACATTTTGGTTTTAAGAGTTTTCTTTGTCTCGAAGAAGTGACAAAGTGGTGCCCCTTTTATTTGTTCCAATTTTGTCAATTTTCTTTCAGTTAATAGGATTAATTGTATTTATTCTTTCTGATTTCAGTATCTCCCGTTCTAATTAAGCGATATATAGACCCACGTCCCAAAGCTCAACGTTGTGGCTTTAAAACACCTGAGTACCGGTTGCAACGTTGTCAATACTGGGACCTTCAATTCTTCATTTATCTTTTAGTTCATATACAAAGCTTCTCCTTGGGTTAATTTTTATTTTGCCAATTGTAATAAACAACTTCTGGGCTTATGGGTATGTTACAAGCTAAATTATTAAAAATAAAAAAAAACAGGGACTCTAATAAGTACCTAACAACTAATAAAAACTACTTCAACAAATAATGTCCGGTAGTCTCCGTAAGAACTACCGGCAACACTAACATTGGAACATAATCAACATTCGAGGACGATTCGAATACTCCTACAAAAAATGCCCAAACACATAAAGTATATCTGCAATGCTTATGGGGAGCTGAAAGAAGTAAGCTTAGGAGAATGGGGAAACAGGGTGTTAACACTAATAAATACGTCATATTACGAAAATCTCGCACTGCTTCTATAGAAGGAACTGGTTTGACACAGGCTGAAGTACACTGCGTCTATCAGGAGTAACTATCTAGAAGAAAGCACGTGGTGGTCGTGTGTATTAAGGTATAAAAAATGCTTATTAAAAGCTTAAAACTTTTATTTTAAAGAAGATCTTTTCGGAATAAACTCATTCCATTATCAGTTTACTAAAAGAGAGAGTAAAAATACCAATATTAAAAAACAAGTAAGTTAAAATTTAAATATATAAAAAGAACCCGTTGGTTTTTTACTACATACATAAAAAATTGTCAAAAAAAACATCGGATGGCCACATGAAAAAATAGTAGAGAAATCCGTATTAAAAAACTATCCTCAAGGTGTTTATGAAGGTAAATGCAATAGACTGTTGATTTGTAGATTACTAAAAACTGAAAATGGGGGCATCTTACATGACCCCCTGTAGTAGGTGAGGTTTTATTGACTTACATTACCTCTGATCTGTGCTGGAGTCTAGGGCTAACTGATAGAAAGATGGTATGAAAAATCAGTTATTACCCGTCAATGTCAAGTGGAATGATGTAGTAGGAGCAAAAGTCACTTAAGTTTGTGAATAGGCCGTTTTTAGTGAAGACTTGTGTTTAGTGTGTAGTAGAATCAATAGCAACTTTTGGTATTTTAAAAGGTGGAAGAATGTAAAACAATGAGTGACTGTGATGTAAAATAAATTTGGTATACCAGGGTAAGGCAAAATTTAAGTTACGTAGTTGAAATTAATAAATCATTTTACAGGCGATAAAAGGAATGTTGTTACCTAATTGTTTCCTTGTATGAAGTAAATATAGATAAAAGTTGGTTTGAAATTTATAGAAGATGAATCGAGGAAACAGAAATAAAAGAGAAAGAAAGAAAAGGAAATAGGAGATTAATGTAAAGATGTAAGCTGGGAATACTGAAACTGATTGTGGTAAGAGATTGATGGATGTAAAGTGAGTATTTCTAAGAAAACCTGTGTGATTAGTTAGATGGTAGTTATTGGAGAGGATAGGAAATTGGATATTGGAGAAGGGAGATGTTAGTGTATTAATGGTGACAAGAATAGAGTTAAGTTTGGCGGATTATATAGGGTAAAACTGGATGTAAGGTTAAAAGAAAGAAAGTTAGATCAGGAGAATAATTGTCGATGAAGTGGGACGAAGTCTCTGTTGATGCTGGTGTGACGATTAACACAATTGGGGCTATTTTTCTTTTCCTTGACTATTTCTAAATCCTCAAAAAGATCAAGTTTGAGATAATCTCTACCTGGGATGTTATGAAAAAGAGAAATATCATCTGGTACCTTGATTGTGTGATTGTGATATTTGAGATGATGGGAAAAGAAGAGGTGTTCTCTAACTTGGAATGTTCAATGGCCCTGGTTACTAAAGATCTACAAGTTCTAGCAATATAAGTGGCATCACAGTCAGAACATTGAAGTTTATAAACTCCACTGCGTTTACTGAAATCAATAGAGTCCTTACTATTGCATAATGATCCACTCTACCAAGAAGAAAATTGCAAAAACGGGAAAACATACAACTTCCCCACAAGATTTTAGTTATAATGTGGATGATAGCAGTGATCTCTAAGAAAAAATATCTAAATCAATGAAATAGGATCCATAATAGGTGCCTTAATTATTGAACCATGAATCCCAAAGGGCTCTTTGATACGAAGGCTATCAACTTATGAAGAAGTATTTTGAATTTATAAGTGCTGATGACGATTCCTTTAATATCACAAAAGGCTTTCTTCAAAAAAGAACGGAGTAGGCGAAATTTCTTCGAGTCAATTAACGTCATTTTCTAAACGCATAAAATGGACATTGGCACTTTTTAAGCTTCAGAAATATGTTACGAGGCATGTTTTTTAAGTAAGTACCGTTTTCAGATTCCGCCGCCGCATCGCTACGGTCGGCGTTCCGCGCATGACCGCTGGTTACCTACATATCTTGTCTACGCACTGACGCCATTACAGTCTGATTCTTCATTATATACTTGTTTACTCCAGTGTTTAAGATGCCTCCAACAATCGTGAGTCACGCTGATTTTGAAGTACGGGATTTCTTAGTGCTAAAGGCGTAAAACCGATCTATATTCATCGTGAGATCGTTGAAGTTTACGGACAAAACATTATGAGTGATGGAATGGTAAGGAAATGGGTGAGAGCATTTAAAGATGGCCGCACAAATTTGGTGCTGAAAGTGGACGAAAAGGTGAGAGAAAACAGACGCTTTACAATTTCCTCATTGTCCGACTGCTTTCCTCAGTATTCTCGTAGTGTTTTGTATCGCATTGTTACCGAGAACTTGAATTACCGGAAATTGTGTTCAAGTCGGGTTCGAAAAATGTTGACGGATTTGCACAAAACCCAACGTTTAGGCAGTGCATTGACTTTCCTTGAGCGGTACCACAGTGAAGGTGAAGATTTTTTAGACCAAATTGTTACTGGTGACGAAACGTGGGTGGCCTACGTCACACCAGAATCGAAACAACAATCCATGGAATGGCGACATCCATCATCACCCAAAAAAGTGAAGTTTAAGCAAACAATTTCTGCCCGGAAAATCATGTGCACAGTTTTTTGGGACAGAAAAGGAGTATTGCTAGTGGAGTTTCTGCCTCTTATTGTGAGAGCGTCTTATTGTGAGACAATGAAAAATCTGCGTCGTGCAATCCAGAACAAGAGACGTGGCAAGTTGAGTAAGGGTATCGTTTTGCTGCATGACAATGCCCGTCCACATGTGGCTAATCAGACCAAAGATCTCATCAAATCATTTAAATGGGAAACTCTAGATCGTCCTCCATACAGCCCTGATCTGGCGCCCAGTAACTACCATTTGTTCCTGCACTTGAAGAAACACCTGGACAGTCAGCGTCTTCAAGACGATAACGAAGTCAAAACATTTGTGATGCAGTGGTTAACAAGTCAGGCGGCAGAATTTTATCAGGAGGGTATTCAAAAACTGGTGCCACGTTATGACAAGTGCCTCAATATTCATGGAAATTATGTAGAAAAGTAGATTAAGGTACAGGCTTCCATGTAAAAATAAAATTATTGCCATATCTTTGCACGTCTTTTTTTAATTCCAAAACGGTACTTACTTAAAAAACACGCCTTGTATATTACAATTATTAATATATTAAAAATACGTAAGTGGATGCTAAAGTAGCGTAATTTTTAAAATCGCTGTCCTACATTATGCAAATATGCAATTCAAATTGGAAAACTATTAATACACAATTATAAAATAGACATATACCTCTTAGGACAATATGTGCATCCATATGGCCTCTCTGATGTATGAATAGCTATTGTATGTTTTGTTAATTGCTGGGCAGTAGCAAATGCTTTATTGCAGGCAGCACATACATGATTCTTTTCTCCCGTATGTGTTCTCATATGCGTGTGAAGATGACCCCCATTAATAAACCTCTTTTCACAAATGTGACAAACATATGGTCTTTCACCAGTGTGTATACGGATATGGTGCACCAATCCAGGCTTCGTTCTAAAAACTTTACCACATGTGTTGCATTGATGTTGCTTTGGTTTTTTAACTTTTTTAGGATTAACTGAAATAATATCCTCTAGCTGCAACACAGTAAAAATTGAAATTATTAAAGATTAAAAAAAACGTAAACATAATAAATTATTTATTTTTTGCCCAACATGTTCATATTGATTTAACAATAACCAACATTTAATGCAAACAAATTATGTCATAACACGTTTTTGCCTAACACGTTCACATTGATTTAACAATAACCAACATTTAATGCAAAACAAATTATGTCATAATTATAAGATACAAGGCTATCATAACTCAAAATTTTATATGTGATCTGTGCCTTGTAACGTTCGTCACTGTCTAATTATAATTTAAACATCAATAGTCTTTTATATTCTATTAGGAGATTTTAATGCTAAATTGGGCAAAAAAGAGGAAGATTATGAACATTTAATTGGTAACTATGGCTACGGGAACAGAAACGATAGAGGAGAAATGCTTCTCAATTTCATGAATGAACATAACATGTACTCAATGAACTCCTTTTTCAATAAAAAAAACCAAGCAGAAAATGTACATGGATGAGTCCCGATAAAAAGACAAAGAATGAAATAGATTATATCTTAACGAAGAATAGAAACCTAGTAGAAGACGTATCAGTATTAAATCAGTTTGACCTAGGAAGCGATCATAGACTAATAAGAACAAAACTAATAATTAACAAAAATACTAGAAAGAAAAAGAATACATGAAAAAAGATACAAATGGACATCTGAAGAAATCAAAAATAGTGAATTTAATAAAAAGATGGTGCATGCGTTAAATCAAGTTAGCATGCAGCAGATAAACTCCAATGATATTGATGATTTGAATAACCTTATTACCGAAACAGTGAATAAAAGCCTTCTGCAACTGAAAAACCCAAAAACAACATACAATGAATTAGACAAAGAAATATTACAACAAATAGAAAGAAGGAAGATCTTAAATAAATCTAACAAAAGGGGAACCGACGAATATAGAGAACTTAATAGGCAGATTAGAAAAGGAATCAGACAACAAAAAAAGAAAAGAAAACGAAAAATTAATAACAACAACTATTAAAAAAATAAGAGTATGAAATGCCTGAGACCGACATTAGGACGACGTCAGATGATATCATTAATAGGAAAAGACGAAAATGAAATCACAAATAGAGAAAACATACTGACACGAATAGAAAAATTTTACACAGAACTTTACAGATCACATCAACAAGATGATGAGATGAGACCAGCACGGAAATTAATAAAAAATGTTGGATCAGAAATAATGCCAAAAGTAACAATTTCAGAGGTAACTACAGCATTGGAAAACATGAAGAGAAATAAAGCTGCAGGAGAAGATAGTATTACCACAGACATGATATTAGAAGGAGGTAAGGAACTAATTGCAATTGTAACTAAGCTTGTGGACAGTTGTTTACATCAGGGCAAAGTCCCTAAGAGCTGGGACAACTCTAAAGTAATCTTATTACACAAGAAAGGTGATAGTCGAAAATTGGAAAACTACAGACCCATCAGCCTACTGTCACACCTGTTTAAAATACTCACCAAAGTCATAACTACTCGACTAACAAGGAAATTAGACGAATACCAACCATATGAACAGGCAGGTTTTAGAAAAGGCTATTCAACTTCCGATCACCTGTTAACTGCAAAAATATTAATAGAAAAATGTAATGAATACAAGTTTCCAGTTTTCCTAGCATTTGTAGACTATGAAAAAGCTTTCGATACCATAGAACACACGGCCGTAATAAACGCAATGCAAAATTGTAGAATCGATAGCAGATATATTAACTTAATAAAAGAAACTATGAACCAAGCTACAGCTACATACTACCTAAATGAAAATGAACACACAAACCCTGTACCATTAAACAGGGGAATCAAACAGGGAGATACTTTATCACCCAAACTGTTCACCTTAGTTTTGGAGGACGTTTTTAAAAACCTAAATTGGAAATATAAGGGAATATATATTCTTCCATACATAATAATAATAATAATACTCCTCTTCCATACACTAGAATGTAATGATAGAATCAAAAAAAATATTTCAAAAACCCACCTTGATATCCTGTTTGTTTTCGCCAAAGTCAGGTTTCAGCTCCAATAAATTAGTTTTATGGATATCATACATTGATGTATCAACTTCTGTACCCATCTCTACTGTTTGTAATATTTGTGTATCTGATGATTCAATCAATGTATTATGTATTTCCCCCACATAAAGATTATTTGATGTTTCAATATGAGTTATATTATTTGTTCCTCCATCATTGTTTTCTCTAAAGGTGTCTTCAGTGTGATTATCTTTTTTCAGTTCTATAAAACCAGTAAAATCTGGAGTTGGAGGAAGATTGTGAAAATGTTCAAAACACTGCCGTAATTTTGCATCAGATGATTCACATTGTTTTTTAAACTGGAATGCTATGTTAAGCTTTGACAAACACTTCTGGCATATGTAAGGGGGTAATCCATCACCTTGTAAAACCTAAAAAATAATTAAACTCTTAAAATTTAAAATTTTATCCAGGATATAAAAATTTTAAAATAATAAACAAGTGAAACAAAAAAGTGCATATGTGTGTAAAAATTAAGGTAAAATCCATAACAACTTTTTTAATTGCTTTATGTTTAAAACAAGTTTTCATCAAAGTTGGTTACTACATTGATCTTTCACAGGCTAATCCCTGTGAAACCTGATACATTAATATTATTATTCTGCATACTTTGACTGATATAAATACAAATAACAGAACTGGTAATGTTTTTACCAAAAGTATTCAGTTGCAAAATAGTTTGAATATAAAGTACATTATCAGTATTGATTCTAATAAAAATGTTCTTTGTATACACATTTGATAAATTTAAAAACACCCAATATATTTGATTATGATAATGACACTAGTTGCCTTTTCTCAATAATTAACTGGTTTATGCAGATTCAGATTTTACAGTCAGTAATTGGCTTTGATTTAAGGTGCAAAATAGTGGGTTAGCATTTGATTTCAATTAGCTTCAAAAATATGTTAACAAGGTTAGAATAAAAATTCAGTAAGAGTGGAGTACTAGAATACAATTTGTTACTAACATAGTTACAGACTATATTTTATCCCCAATCAGAAGTTATGAATAAGGCAATTCAATCAGAACAATAACTTATTTAATGAAACAAATCTGTTATGGTGAATGAATATTTCTATTTGATCAATTATTTGAAATTAAAAGATGGTGCATTGGAAGTGCACTTTAAATTTTTTTGTGGATCCTAATGGATCCACAAAAAATGAGATCGACTACATACTGTCCACGGAACGATATATCATTAAAGATGTAACAGTTCTTAATAGATTCACAACAGGTAACGATCACAGGATGGTCAGAGCAAAAATTAGTATTGACAGTAACTATGAGATGAAAAGAAAAATAAGTAGAAACTGGAATCTAGTAGATAGAAACAAACTAGGTCAATATAAAGAGATATACAAAGACCTATTAAAAGAACAACTTACCCAAAGATTAGACAGTGACGATAAAGATATAGACGGAATAGACAACATACTTACAGCAACAATGATTACATCAGGAAAAAAATAGCAAAGAAGGATCTAAGAAAGAACAACTATATATCAACAGAAACAAAGAAGCTTATGGATAAAAGAAGGAAACTGAACGAAGAAGGCAAAAGGAAATCTATAGAATATGTAGAAATTAATAAAACAATAAGCAGAATGATAAAAGAAAATAAGAGAAAAGAACAAGAAATAAAAATAGAAGAAGTAATACAAAACAACAAAAATATGAAATGCTTAAGGCCAAAATTAGGTAAGTTTGAAATAAACAAAATAAAAGATGTAAATGGAATAGAAACAAACGTTAAAGATGACATCATAAATATAATCCACCATTTCTACCCAGAATTATATAAAACAAAAAAGGAACCACCAGAAGAAATTAAAAACCAACTTAAGGTCAAAATAAAAAATGTCAACTCAGAGCTGCAGCCCGAAATAAGCAAATCAGAAATAAAGAAGGCATTGAAAGAAATGAAAAACAACAAATCGCCTGGAAAAAATGGAGTAACTACAGAGATGCTGAAATATGGTGGAAAAGTGGTAATTAATACTCTACATTCCCTTTTTAACAGAATATTAAAAGAAAAAAGAATCCCAAACAACTGGAAGGAATCAGTAACCATTATCCTACACAAGAAAGGGGATAAAGCAGATATAAAAAACTACCGTCCGATAACACTCCTCAATGTAATGTATAAACTCCTAAGCTACATTCTTAAAAACAAAAGATATCCACAGCATCTTAAGACCAAAGTATATAATCAATGCATACTCCCTGTTCTTACATATGACTCCCAAACGTGGACATTTACAAAAGCAAACATGGACAAAATCATAAAAACCCAAAGAGCAATGGAAAGACAAATGTTGCACATAAGACTAATGGATAAGAAGAGAAACGAGTGGATAAGAGAGAAAACAAAAGTGAGGGATGTTAGACAAGAAGTTGCAAAATTGAAATGGAGATTTGCCGGACACAATATAAGACAAAAAGAAGACCGATGGAACAAAATTCTTATAAGTTGGAGACCGTGGGAATATAAATGAAGCAGAGGAAGGCCCCAAATGAGATGGGCAGATGATATCAAGAAGCACGTGGGCTCTAGATGGATGACTGTAGCGACAGACAGAGAAGAATGGAAAAGGATTGGGGAGGCCTATGTCCAAAGATGGACCGAAGAAGGCTAATTAGATAGATAGATAGCATTGGAAGTATTTTCTGTATTGTTTTAAAGAAGCTGGCTTAAACAGGCAAACTTAAATTAATTGATACATTTTTTCTAAGATTTTTTAAAATTTTGCAAAGAATTTCCTATGTATCATTCTGTTATTTGAGAAACTTTTCATGTTCCATGCATTTTTAATGTAATCATATCTACATATTGATGGCTTAACTTGCAAATCAGCTAACTCCATTTTGTACCCAAATACAGGTTTTGGCGTTGTCGACTGGGTCTAGTTGTCACGTAAAACGGTCAACTCCTAACACGAGCATAACAACACGGAAACGTGTCCAAAGTCAACCGCCGTTTTATTTGTACTTGAGGGTGAGTGCCACATTTAGGTGTGCGGCCTGTTTTAGAAATCTGTGAATTAACAGATAAAATAAAGCAGATTAGATAACGATACAGTGTCTAAGAATGGTGGTAAGTAGTTTTAATGAAATAATAAACCTTTTTATGAGAAATATCCAGCTCGTTATAGCATACCATCGTACAACAGGAAGACAATACTAGCTTGATTATCAAATATTTAAGAAACGATAGCGACTGCATGAATGCACAACTTGTACCTTACTCTAAGCACTCTGATTGTAACAGTGAAGAAGAACCAAAACGAATTAAGAGAAGAAAACTATGTCAGGTAAATAAAGCTACATGGAAAGATCAAATGAACAAGCTTTACAAGGAAAAGGGTGTGAAAAAATTGAAAGGAAATGGGAAAGAACACAAAAAAAAATAAACGAGTTCTTAAACCTTGATGCAAATATAGGGCAATTGATAAAAGTGCCCCAAAATGTAGCAAAGTTTCAGAAGAAGAAAGGAAAACTATATTTAAGATGTTTTGGAGGATGACTTGGGTTTTCGTGAATGGTTTGCAAAACGATGTTTTAAAACACTTTGTTTCGTTTCAAAATGGGTAGCGGGAACTGAACAAAAGGCAAAGAGAATATTTCTTATAAAACAAATCAATATGCAACAAAAAATCCCTACGAAGTAGAAGTGGAATCACGAGTTTTTGAACAAAATTTTAAAAATGGAATCCTGTTATTCGTCCCAGCTTTATTTGTTACCAGAATGGACATAAAAAAAAGCCTTGTACAACTTCTACACATTAGGCAAGATATGCACGCAAAATTTCTGTATTCCAAATAAAAAGTAAATGACAGATTTTCTTATGCGTGTAACAAGACCGAAAGCAGGTTATCCTCTGACAATTAGGCTACCAAAATTGTTAAGTTTATCATGGAAAAACTTTTGCCGAATTGTTTTTTCTCCACAGAGAACCTGGACAAGGTACTAAAATTATATTGTACAATGATGGATATACAGTGCAAAATAGAAACATAATATTGGCAAATGCGTTACTAAATGTGGCAACATTAAACAATGTCACAATTCAGCAAATGTATCTGGAAGTTGGCCATACCCACAGAGGGACTCAATGCATCCTACCCTAGAGAGGAAACAGAAAAACAAAATAACTCATGTACCAGCTGAATATGCAGTTTGTGTTGGAGCTCGCTAAGACCAGGAAAAAGCCGTAGGAGATGCCTTGTAATGTTAATTATATTTTGTTTTCTAGAGACACAGAAGACGAAAATATTGTTAAATTAATCTTTTGTTTTTCAGGTCACAGATATTCGTGAGCTACAATATAAACAAGGGAACCTGTACTTTCAGTGTTATGGTTTACAAATGAATGGCAGTTACTGTCATAGTGATGTGACAAAAGGATCTGAGTTAAAGTTATTGAAAGCTCACTGAATCTTCTTGAAAATGGGCTTAGAATAATTAGTCAAAAATTCAAAGACTTACAACAACTAAAAAGTACCTTATGGTATAATAAAAATAAAATACTTTATTATAAAATAAACAAAAATATTATTACGATTGATTTGATTTTCCTATAGAGCTTCCATAATATGATGCAGAGAAAAGTGGACAACTCCAATTATTTACTATTTTCTTTTAATTACAAACAGGGTAACTCCAAAAATTTACATAAGTAATTGTTTTTTATTCAAAAAATATTTTTTTATGCTTTTTAGTAACTTCAAAGTGCATAATAAATTGGCAACAAATTAATTTTTGGAATATTGATATTCCGAGTATTAATTTTTTTAAGAAGTTTTTTGTGTTCCTGTAAAGTTTTAAAAAACAGAGTTAGCCACAGTGCAAATTAAGCCATCAATATATATTTATTATCGTTGTATTTGCTAAGGTACAAAGGAAACATTTACATATTACTTCTGTGGATTCATAGGTTTGGTGTTAAAATAACAATTGGATCAATCTTTATTAAGTATATGGCTTAGATAAGACCCAACACATCCTAAATTTAAAAGAATAACAAACAGCAAATATAATTATCTGAAGAATACTAGGAAGACTAACTAATGGTTTAAAGAAAGCATAAAAAATGTAAGACTGAATGACAAAATAAAATACAAACGCAATTTGGAAAAAGAGAAATATTGGCAGACCTTAAAAATATACCAATTTATACAATAGAACAATACCTAATAATAATAATAGAAAGCTAACATTAAAGAAACAAACTTAGATTAGTAAACTAATCAGGAAAACGAAGACAGCAGGAAGACAACTTTTAAATAACCTTTGGCCCCTTTAAATTTATACTAAATACATAACATTAATAATAATTTTGGTTTATTACATGGAGCAAAATAATAGGTGTATGTACCTAGATTTTACTAAACAAGATGTTCACAATAATAGGTCTAAGAAGAGTTGAGTGGTATTACCTGAACTGCAGCACAAGCCATAATTAATATTGAAAAATGTGCTGGTTTTACAGGATCAAAAATTGGCATAAGTTTCGGACCTTTTTCCAGGCATATCCTACATATGTTATTAATATTCATTGACAAATAATAATTTAAAAGATCATTTGAATGTTGGATATTTTTGTTATTATTGAAAGCCGCCATGTCTTGTTTACTATTTGGATAACATTTTGCATTAATTTGACATTTACTAAATAAACTTTGACAGTAACTGTTATCTTTGGTTATGTTACAAAATCACAAGTTCGAACAAGTGATTGATAATCTTGTCAATAGTACTTGTCAATAAAAATTGTAAATTTTATTTATGAATAAAATATATGCATAAACCTAAATTGTTGTTTACAATTATATTAAAAAAATGAACAATTACATTGTTCAAATGTTCACACTCTTGACATTAACAAATCATTAAATGTCTTCTGTGTCTATGCTGCACATCTTTGGTATGCTGTGATAACAGCATCGAGCAATAAGACAAAAGAGGGAATGTAAAGGTAGAAGGGGTAAACATATTGATAGACAGGAAGTGCCATCTTGAGAGGCCACTTTAGACAAGGATAGACAGTCTCTTTCCTTGTTTAAGAAGTCAAATTTAGTTTGGTTATGTTATTGTTTGTCCCAACTGTCACATAAAATTTTATTTATATTGAAGTTTTTTACCAATTATGTCACTTTTTAGACTATTATCGTTATTATCTAATTAAAACTTTCTAGTCTGAAAAATATTTTATAGCTATTGTTAACAAATGTTGGAAAATTTAAATTTAGCGCCTTTGCATTTCCGGATGTGTCCGCCATCAGAGGCCACTTATTTGGTCTCCTTTTTATAACGATTAGATTCCCTCTTTTGTCTTATTGCTCGATGGATAACAGTCAATTTTGTGGTAACAGCAGTGTAGAGGTGGATCATTATACCAGGCTGTCGAATACTCTAATAATATACCTATTTTTAATTTAACAATTTGACATTTATTTTATGTTCGTCGGTATTATCTATTCAAATATTACATTTTAGATTTTTACCTATTAATTAAAAAAGAGGCAAATTTAATTATGTAAAATAGTTTCAAAATAAGGCTTATCGCCAGTATGTAAGTATCCAATTATGTTATTACTGCATGAAAAATTATAATTTATAGTAAATTGGGAAATCCAAAGGTTATTTTAAAAATCAGTTTTAGGTTCAAAAATTCAAATCATGCGAATAGAGAGTGAATCTATCACCTAAAGATGAACGTTTTTTATATGCAAAGATGTTTCAAAGTTTTACTATGTGTGGCAGTAGCAACAATTGTGATAATTTTCCTCGAAAGCCAGTACATACCAATCAAGGTTTACAGACTTTTTTATCCAAAAGATGGTATAAATTGTTATAGGATACAAATGCCCTCTCTTCCCGAAATAACTGAAATATCCCCTAGAAAAGGAAAATCAATTTTCTTCCATGAGACATCATGTAGATCATTTTTCAATGATAAGATTTCGATCACTGCACGTCAAGCATGTGCTGTAGAAAGTGCAGCAAGAATAAATCCAAATTTTGATGTATATTTACTATTTACTTCACCAGGAGTGTTAAAGTATGAAGGAGATGAGTCTGATCGTATTTTAATGGCATTGCTGAGATACAACAATCTTAAACTGTTACATTTAGACTATGACAAATATACCAAAGGTACCCCTCTTGAAGAATTATACAGTTCTGGAAAAGTGGACAATTCCTATTATGCGCAGTCTCATGCTAGTGATGTACTAAGGTAAGTTGTTAATTCTTCACTTTTTTTATGATTATAGTCTAGTTCTTAAATTGTTAATTTAAAAATATATGGGATATGCTTTAATTATCTGTTAAAGTAGTTATGGATGGGAGCCCATATATCGATGACCTAACTGTAATAACCAGTATCTGAAATAAGTGAATTTTACAGGAGAGACAAAATATGATTTTAAACAAAAAAATGAATGAACACAAGACTTTTTTCTTGACCTTAAAATGAATAATTTCATTGTCTAGTAAATAAAAGATGAAAAAGTACATGTTGCAGTATTTTAAGTTTTTTTTGTGTAAATACAAGGTATTGTCAAAAATGTTGTAACATAAATGTTAGATACGGGTTTTTAGTATTAATTTAACAGGTAGTAAAAACAAAATGAAAATTGGTACAAAACAAGTTTATTAGAAGTTACAAACATATATAAAGTAAAACAGTAAGAAAATATGTAACTAAAACTTTAAAGGAAAATTAGGTTTAATAAATATAACTTTCTAAAAACAAATAACTAAACTAAAAACTTTTAAGATATCTACCTAAATCTACCTGTTATCTTTGGGTAAATTGTTGTAAAACATGTGACAGTCAGTAGGTAAAAGTACCTTAAGGTATTGCAAATGAGTATATTTATCACTCTTTATACTTAGTCTTTGGTTGTGTAAGTTAGGGTACAACGACATTTCTAGACTTTTGGGATTGACAGCTCATACAGGTAATGGCTTAAAATCATCTTTAAAATTAGTTTTGAACAAAATTTGTTTTTTCTCTGGATCATACATGTGAAGGTCAGATCGTTCTTCATCTTTCCAGGTCAAATACTTCTATACGCTAATTCGCAGGATGCATAGTGTTTAAAAAATGTATGAGTAAGCATCTGCGCTTAAAATGGAGCTGGTTTTATCCACGCTTCTTCAGTACATGTTATATAATCTTGTGGAAGAAAAATTTTACGATTTTTAAGTTTCATCTCTATTAGATGATGATCACACTCCATCTGGGTGTGAACTTTCTCAAGATATTTGTGAACTCTATGTGTGATTTGTAAGCAAACTGTTCGATATTCTTAACTTCAAATTTGCTACATGTATCACACCAGTTTTTTTGGCTAGTACAAACTTAGGTTTAAGTCACAAAATATTTGGCCAAAAATCATATGATAACTTTTCCAGACTGTTATTATCACAGTGCTTTAAATATTTTCTATATAATTGAGCTTTGGTTAGAAAAATTGTCTCTAAATATTTTTTCTTTATGTCATTGCGACAATAATGAGAGGCCATCTTAGGTAGCCTGTTAAACCAATCAATCAGACGATTTCTTTTTCCTTTATTATAATTATTTGATTTTCTTTGATCCTCACTTGTGTTTGAGTTTTCTTCTCTTATAAAAATAACCCCTGCTCTGTCTTTTGGAACCAAGTCTTCTTTCAAATCGAACATAGTCAAGAACATTTTCTTGCAGACTCTTTTTTTTTTCATTAGATTTGTTCTTTAAATACTTAATAGTAATAGGTTCCACTTTCTCTTGATGGTTCTTCACCTTCTTTCTTCTTCTTGTGTATTCCATGTTACCAGTTATGTATGCTTTCTTTTATTGCCAGTCCATTTTACCCCAAAAAGTTCGGAACATAATACCCATAGTTAGGATCCCCCCAAGTTAGGACCCATAGAAATGCTTTGTAGACTTCGTACATGCTAAAGATACACACCTGTCTCTTATCTTACTCTCTGGTCGCTTTATTCCTTAGGATACTTTATGATCCTTATTTCTTTGGAAACCAGCTTATTCCACTCCATGTATTCTTCTAGATTTTGTTGCCTGCCTGTTTTCCCTATCTGCCTTCCTCTTTCTGCATCTTACTCTAATTTCTTCATTTAGTTTATCTTCATCTGAGCTCCTCGCACTGTCTGTTTTCTCTTCATTATTAGTAGTTATATCTGAAAAATCGGGATCTTCTTCAAGGATATAGTCGTCGTCGTTTTGATTGGAATCCTCAGAGGTGGTGCTTAAACCGGGGCTAAGGTACAAATTGCCTAGTTCCAATAAAGGAGTTTGCTTTAAATAAGTATCTGGATTAGTATTTTCTGTTACTTTATCTGTTTCTACAAGATGCTCATGTGTGTCTTTACAGATGACTTCATCTTGAAATATTTGCTGTTGAATTTTGCTCTGTTCTAAATATGCAGGACTTGAATTAGTGTTTTCTGTTCATTCATCAGTTTCTATAAGGTGCTCATGTGTGACTTCACCGAGGACTTCATCTTGAAATATTTGCTGTTGAATGTTACTCAACAAAATGGAGTTATTTTCAGTATCATGCCAATCAGTAGTATCTCGAAAATCTCCTTCTATCAGTATTAGGGTCCCATCTGTGGCACTTACTTTATAGACTTCACTGAACTGAGTGAATAAAACAGTTTCAGAAACTTGCTTGGTACTACTAGGAGGCTGTTGATTATTTTCTTTTTGATTTAAAACCATAGACAAAAGTATGTGTGATCGAGTTGCCTGCATCTGAAAAAAAAACATAATTAAGATAACTTAATCTTATATAGATTGTAAAAGGTATGAGCGCAAATACTTTAATGGATAATAGGGCAAGTCAAAACAAGAAAAAAAGTTGATAAAACTTTTGTGTGATCGAGTTGTCTGCATCTGAAAAAAAAAATAATAAAGATAACTTAATCTTATTCAGATTGTAAAAGGTATGAGCACAAATACTTTAATGGATAATAGGACAAGTCAAAACAAGAAAAAAGTTGATAAAGCTTTTGTGTGATAAGTCGCGTGCATCTGAAGAAAAAAACATAATAAAGATAACTTAATCGTATACAGATTGTAAAAGGTATGAGCACAAATACTTTAATGGATAATAGGAAAAGTCAAAACAAGAAAAAAAGTTGATTAAACATAGGGGTAATAAATCTCTTATTTGTACTAATATCTATTACAACCTGTATACCTAACTGAGGTTTTTATTTTTAAATTTTTCTCAGTGTAGACTAGATTCATATTAAAAACAGTTCCTTTAGATTAAGTTTTGGTTAAATTAACTAAAATATCCAATCCCTCTATTTAGCAGGACAAAAACAGCTTTTGCTTTTTCATTTCCATTTTTTAATAAACTAATATCAAAGACTTTAAATTTTGATGTCACGTAATGCACAATGTTATAATAATAGCCCTTATTTACTAAAAATTAGTATGCAAATCTGTTCACAACGAGAAGTCAATATCCCGTATCGTAAGGTCTCACAATATTAGACCCTTTTATCAAGTTATGTCCTAGGTTAATTCATATTTATTAAAATACCAGCAGAAATATATTTTTAATAAAAATAGTGGTAAAACTTACCTTTGAAATATAATTAATTCACTGAATAGCTAAGTAAACTCACACACGTGTAGGTTGTAGGAGAATGCAATGTACAATTGACAGATACGGGATATTTTTATTCGCATGTCCTCTGACGAGCAATACGTTATATTAAATAAAAGAGATTTTCAAGGCTTCCTTATTTTTTGTATGATACAGGGTTTTGACACAACATGCTAGGCAACCCGACAAACCTGTTGCAATGAAACTCTCAAAATTGTCAGATACGGGGTATTGCAGTTAGGCCATCGATATACTAGATGCATTAACTTAAAATTTTCAGAAAAGCACCTATATAGAATAATATTATAAACCTATTCCTCCTGTTTTATAATCATTCCATTTATAATATTTATTATCATTTTATGAGTAAGAAATTTTTTAAAAATATATAAAAGGTACTTACCTACTACTTAAAAAATTTATCTGTAAATATAATACACTATAATATATAATTCTAATTAATTAATGCACCTACTAGTAATGGGAATTACTTTTTCTTGAACCTTTTTTCTATAAACTTGTCTGATACTTTAATAGTAACAAGTTATCTTAATTTTTGTAAATACTGTATAAAGGAGATATGCAAATGCATTAATATAGAATTTTAAGCTGATCAGTCAGTGGCTGTGCATTTTGCCGCTCTTTGTGACTTAGGGATCATTATAAATGTTGAATAAAGCCATTGGAGTATGACTGGTATATATGGTATTGAAAATTGTTACCAATGTGTCGATGTTGTCATCTTCCAACAGTTTTGTGGCTCTCATACTAATGCCATATCGTAGTTCACCTCAGCACGAATAATGGGTGGGCCAGATCCATTTTTTATGGGTAAGATAGTAGGTAGTTGGAAGATTCAGTCTATTATCCTTGAAGAGGGATGAAGCATTATCTGGCCAGATTTAGCTATTTCTTGCTGGGTATGAAAGTAGTCTCCTTGATCATTCTTCAGGTGTTATGGTGGGTGCGCTATAAAGCTTTTCTTTGTGGGTTTAATTTTTCCTCTTATATTATCTCATATCAGTAGCTTATGAATAACATCTTGAAGTCGAACCTGTCGGATTCATAGCACCCTCGGGCCATCCAAGGTCTGTTCGAATTGATGGCTGTTGTCTGACATATATTAATATAATTATCCCAGGGGACAGGCGGAGAAGTACTGTAGTATCCCGTTACTTTCAACACTGTATAACAATATTTTCTTATTCCTCATTAGAATGCGTATACCAGAGTGACTCTCTGGTATAAGCATATAACTTTAACAGTAGGGTATAAATTTACTAATAAATAATTTAAAAAATAAAAAAAAATAATTGTGTACTGGAATTGTCCTATTTGTTTAAATTATTTTTCCAGACTGTAATTGTTTTATAAGTTTTAAAGTTTTGTAAACTAATATGTATATCCGTATATAATGTATAATAAGTTCCTTGATAGATTTTATATAAAATTTATTTTTAGGTATTTAACATTATGGAAATATGGTGGAATATATTTAGATTTAGATGTAATAGTTACTCAAAGTTTAGAAGATATTCCACCCAATTACGCAGGAATTGAATCTGATAAAAATGTAGCTGCTGGAGTGTTAAGTTTTGATGCTACAGGAAAGGGCCATACAATGGCCGAAAGCTGTGTAAATGACTTAAAACATAATTTTAATGGCCAAGATTGGGGAAATAATGGCCCTGGAGTGATAACTAGGTAACTATATGATCAATAAAAATGCTTCAATTATTTTTATGTTTTAAAGTTTTAGAGATAATAGTCACTGATAAACAAAATACGTTATAATAAAATACATTTATTAACGAGTACAAAAGGCTGTAAATACATATGTCAAAAAATTAAAATATTGTAACTATGAAACAGAAATCTGGATATTTTCAGAAGTAATATATTGTGTGACAAGCCAATAATTATTTTAACTAGAAATATCTGCTTCATTATTGTTTTATGATGTATTTATTGTTCAATATTTAGTTATTCATGTTGTAAGCGTGTATATAATAAATAATAGGCGAGTTTTCCAGAGCTGGTGCCTATTCTCGTATCCTAATTTCCAGCATTTTATGTCAAAGTAATCTTCAGTTTTTAAATCTCTGACTTTCATTGCATATTCTACATCTTCTCTCCAGGACCGTCTTGGTCTACCTCGTTTTCTTCTAGTGGGTGGAGTCCATTTTTCTATCTTTTTTGGCCTTCTATTTTCTGGCATTTTCTTCAGGTGTCCGTACTAGTTTAGTCATGTGGCTTCAATTGTGTCTATTACGTCTAGATCAACCTCCATTTTTATCCGATAAGCTTCGTTCCACACCATATTAAGTCTAGTGAGCTGGCAACATAGGTTTTAATAGTTAATTTCCGTGGTCATAATTTTTTATTTGTTTCTTTGATTTATTATATTTCTCAGAATTCGGCGCCTTACAGCCCAATACTTTCTATTATTCTTTTATATATTTTTTTTATTTTCTTTTGTTATATATACAGTGTAGGTAAAAGTTTATGGTCGGTATGGATCTTACGTGAGATGGAGTGAGAAACACCTGTTTAAAAAGAGAGCGGTATATTAGGTCCGCCTTTTATATCGTCGAAAATGTATTAGTGGAAATAATGAAAGAGGGGAAGTTCAACGTTGCTAAACTTATTGGTTTTATTTGACCTGTTGTCTTTTTAGCATTTTTACAATGTTCTAAGATAATCAAATTTGGGCGAATTGATTTAAATGGCAGCTTACTGTTTTTTATTAGGGATATGCCACAATTTTCCTTTACAATAAGTGTAATTTAACATTTTGGTTTCCACTTCGGAAATCGTTTTATATACATAAAATTTATTAATGTTCCGTATTTAAAGTACGATTTCCGAATTGGAAATCTAAACATCAAAAAAGCTTATTTTAGTCACATTGTGCCTTATTCCCAATAAAAATAATAAACTGCCTTATGACGCCACAATAAAAAGCTTCTTACAAAATTATTTGGCAGGTCGAGTCGTCAAAGTAAGGACACACTAGTAACGAGCAAAACAGTAGAGGTGGGTCGTTGACGTTTTTATGGTTAACGAAACTGAACCGTTTTTCGTAAACAAGTAACTAGTTGAAAAACTAGTTAAATGATTCAACTAGTTGATTGTTTAACAGTAGTTTCAAATAAGCGAGTACATAAACAAACATGATTTTTTGAATCAAAGAAAAAAAATACTTAAGTATGTTTTCTTTTTAAATGGCTTTTCAAATTTGCTCTAGTTGATTTATAACTACCGGGTTATATATACCGGATTTGGTTTCAACCGTCTTGTTGAAACCAAATTTCGTTGAAGTTAATTTGAAGACGTTGAAGTGCAGGAATAATTTGATTTTGCAGTAATTGGAGATATTTGACTACATTTAAATTGCCTTCAATAAAAGAAGGATCAATAATATGGTCTCCCAAAATTTCAGTCCAAAAATTCAACTTTTGTGAATACTGTGTACGCACAAACATACTCAAATGCTTATTCTCCTGAGACCTATAACGTACATCGGATGGATTATGTTTCTTGTTAATTGTGAAGGAGGACTCATCTGTAAACAAAATATTTTTAAAAAAATTATTATTTGCATGGCACCTCTCCATCATAATTTCACAAAATTGCATCCGTTTAAATTGATCATCAGGAAATATTTCTTGAGTTGTCTGCACTTTATAAAGGTAGTTGTTTCTTGTCAAAATATTCCTCACTGTTTTTGCATTCAAATCAACTTCATCGGCAATTTGTTTACTTAAACACGACGTCGCTTCATCCAATGCACAAACTTGAATTTCTCTAATTTCTCGTTCTCGAGAAATTTTCTTTTCGCGAGGTTGATCTGATGGGCAGCATTTTTTACATCTACCATTAGTACAGACAAAATTTTCAAATTGATAAATAATGGCCAATACAGTTTTCTCTTTAGGTATTGGCCTATTTTCAAAAGCCATAATAAATTGATAGTTTCTTGTACTGAATTGTCCCCAAAGTACCATTTTATTTTTTGTACCCGTTCTTCTGTTGCATAAACAGTCGGCATATGTAATTATTATCTTTACACCTACGCAGTTACCTCCAAAAAGAAATACTTAGCATAGCATTTGGCCTGTCTCGTATGCATTTTACCATTCAACAGAATGGACGAATGGCGATGTTGCCAAAATTATGTTGTTTTATTCAAAATTGGGTTACTTTACAATCTTGTCAAATAAAAATGTGAATCTGTAAATTTTTCATGGATTTAAGAAATTTTGTACCAGTATTTCTGCCAATTAGTGTTTAATTTTTAATATCATCCAGTTTTGAATGGCAATATAATCGCGCCACTGATCGCCATTTTTTTTAAAATAAATTCAATGTTTTAATTCAAATATGTAATAAGGCAACCCTGCCGCTATTTCTTACGTATAAGCTGGATCGGAAATAATCGTCTGGCGTTTACTAATGAGCGTGCATGAAGAATGTGGAGGGGAGACCAAGGGGAAATATGATTGTTTTCTTTGTCTATTCGCTGAAAATATGATTTTATGTCTATGTTAGATATCCTGTTTAATTTTACTATACCAACCATAAACTTTTACCTACACCGTCCACTAACGTATGTCTTTATCAGATCTACAGCGTATTTACTAAAGTTGGCAACATTTGGGAAACCTTTTTTATCTAAAACCTACTATGCAAAAATAGATATCAAATTTTGTCATTCTTATACGAGGTATATAAAAAATATGAAATTTTCTCAAGAGTCAAGTACCTGTATATTTCACAATATCGAAAATTATTAATATGAAAAGTTGGTCAGAATCAAAAACTATGTTTTAATATGCAATTACTTCCTTATCCTAATTGAAAAAAAAAATTTGTTCTTAAATTACTGATACCGAATATTTATTGTTATTTATTATAAACATGATAATATTTCCATTCCTTTTAGAAATTAATAAGGTAATTTTCGCAAAACAAAATTTAGTAAAATTCTAATGAACATTGAACAGTTGATAACCTTTCAATTAATTAATGTCTGTCTTCTAACATTTTAGCATTGCATTTAAATTAATAATACCATAATAATTCATTTTGTTGTAATTATTTAACGAACATTATTAGCTCCCTAAATTCATTAACCCCCAATATATCCACCTTTTCTTTTAATATAGGTAATTTTTCGATCACAAAAGTTTGTCAATGCCCTTCTAACCATAGTCGGAGTAATACTTTAAACAGATTCTTTAACGATTCTTTCCAAATGAGCAATATCTATGAATGTCCGTCACCTTTTCCTTTATTGAAACCTAGAAAAAAACCTTGAGTGGTGTGAAATCTGGACCGAGGAGGCCAAAAAATGTCAGAAAACCGATGTATAATTCTTCTATTAAATTATTTTTAAGGTAGTGCCTTACATCTAACTTACTATTAAAACCATGAACATTGAAGGAGATACATGTTATCAAGAAAATCGTCTAAACACAGCAAATAACGGTCCCATGATTTTATTTCAGTAAATTTTACTCTATGCATGTGTTTTAAATGCATATTGGTCTCGAATTTTTATGGTAAATTTTGGCTTAAGACTGTTTTATTTGATGTAAATGTTGCTTCGTTTAAAAAAAGAATATGTTTGGCTATAAATGAGTTATCTGGATATTACAAAATAAATCAAATCGTCTATCAATTATATCCTAGTCTTAACGTATGAATACATCGGAGCTTGTATGGATACAACTTGTTCTTTTTAAAAATTTATGAAACTGTATCTTTGTTAAAAAGGATTTAGCATTAAACCTGTCGTTTTTCGCAAGGATTATTTACGATCTTCGATTATTAAAATCTTATTTTAAATTCTATGCTGTCTTTGGCAACCCGTTGTTGCGGTTTATTCCTAAATTTGTTACATCTTCAGAAGACTAAAATTGTTTGTAATAATTTCCTTACTGTGCGATAGTCAAAATTTTTCTCTGGGTGTCGGTTTTTAAAGATGTCTGCTACTTCACGATAAGTTTTATAATTCTCATCCACAATTAACACAGTTTTAATTTTATTTCCAATACTTAAAAGTCGCGTAGAACTGTGGGCAATAGAAGAAGCATTAGTCAACAACCGGATCGACTCCAGGTACACAATATTTACGAACAACCTGAAATGATAGTGACATTGGGTAATGGAATCGAAACAAGACCAGTAAAAATCAACCGAGGAGTAAGACAAGTAGACACAATATCTCCAAAATTATTTACAGCTGCCCTAGAAGATATCTTTAAGTCAATAGACTGGAAAAATATGGGAATCCCTATTAATGAAAGATACTTGAACCATATTAGATACACAGATGATGTAGTACTAATAGTCGACATGTGGAATCCACTGAATACGATGATTGAGGAGATACACACAGAATCCCTAAAAAAAGGACTGAAAATGAATTTCAGCAAAACTAAACTAATGTCAAACAAAGATGACAAACCTATGATAAACATCGAAGGGACAGAGATGGAAGACGTAGATGAATATACATATCTGGGTCAAGATGTCAGGGTAAGCAAAGAAAATCAGACTATCGAAATAAGCAGACGTGTAAAAATGAGATGGGCAGCATTCGGAAGACTCTCATATGTACTTAAAAATAAAAATATACCTCAAAGACTGCGAACCAAAGTGTTTAATTCCTGTATCCTACTTGTGCTTACATATGGAGCTCAAACTTGGACATTCACTAAAATTAACATGGAGAAGATCAGAAAAACTCAGAGAGCTATGGAACGACAGATGCTGGGTATCTCACTCAAAGACCATAAAACCAATGAAGACATTCGTAATAGAACAAAAGTAAAAGATGCTGTCGAACAGGCAGCTAAACTGAAATGGAAATGGGCTGGACATAACTAACGTCTTAAGGATGGCCGGTGGAATAAAGAAATCGAGAATTGGCGGCCATATGAAGCCAAAAGACCACGAGGAAGACCGCAAATGCGATGGAGCGACGATATTAAAAGAACTGCAGGGCCAATGTGGCTACAAGCGGCCCAGTGTAGAGAACACTGGAAAGAACTGAGGGAGGCCTATGTCCAGCAGTCGACGCGATTGGCTGATTGATGATGATGATGAGGGCCAATGTGGGAACGTCTTACTGTTCTCGAACGCAACTAGTTCGCGCTCGAGATGCATCGCCCCGCCCCTCATTTTACCTATTGGTCCCTGACCTGGAAATCCCTATTTATCGCTACTTCAGCGTGTATAAAAATAGGCGATTTTCAGGTCAACCAGGTCAGTCCTTCACGGTCTCTCCGAGAGCTTAGTGCTCTCGGGGCGCTGCTTTTCTTGTTTTTAGCTTTCCTATACTCTGTGGCTGAGTATTTTATTCCAGCAATATTTGGTGTTATTATTTCGACTACCTCCTTTTGTTCATGTAGGAAATATCTTGCCTTTATCAAGGCAAGTCATCGAGGAACCACAAAACTGATGTTTATTTCGACTTGTAAGAAGACTAAGTCATGTAAGAAATAGCTCGTCTTTTTTAAGGCGAGCTCATCAGAAGAAATTTTCACAAGTCTATATCCAGTAAATAGACTTGGGTAGAGGTGCATTCGTTGACGACTCCGAAGCCCTCTACAGAGCACCCGGAGGCAATAGAAGGAGTTCAGACCGCTATTTGTTCCCCCGAGGTGACATTACAAACAACAGAGGTGAATGGCAAGAATTAGAAAAGGCCCATATTCGGCAATCTGAATAGAGAAAATAGTTTAAAAAAAAACTTGAAGGTCCTGCCATTTCTACAAATTTTGAAATACTTTTTATCAAGTTTCGCTAAATATATCTCGTGTTTTGAATGTCACTCTCAAACATTTCTTATTAGAACATCCTTTATTAGATGCACACTAATTAAAGTTCAATTTTCGTTGTTATTGCTGAGATATTTCGAGAAATAAAAAATATAAATTTGTGCAACTGCAAATTTGAACGTCATTTTAAATTCCAAACAACTTTTTATAATATCAATTTTTGATATCGTGAACTATAAAGGTAATTTACTCTTGAATAAAATTAATACTTTTTGACATACCTAGTATAAGATTGAAAAAAAAATCTGATGATTATGTTTTAAATCTCAGAACTTTTTATAAAGGATAACTTTTTTTTGTAAAATAATAATAAAAATGTTTCTTATGTGTTGCCAGCTTAAGTAGACAAGCTGTATAAAGTAGACATGCACCCCATGAGTGTGGTGAGTTTCTCGGTTATAATTTCGTTTGAAAATGCACTGAATCGCTCATTTTGGTATACCTATTAACGCTTATACTTTTAGGTTACTTAAGTCTCTTTGTGGAGTGAAACTTGCAAAAGAAATGGTAAATAAAGACTGTGGGGGTTTCAAAGCCTACCCACCAAACTCATTTTATCCCGTGCCTTGGCAGAATTGGAAAATGTACTTCGATGAAAATTCAACAGAGGCTGTGGTTAATTTAGCTAAAGATAGCATTGCTATCCACGTTTGGAATAAACATAGTGAGCAAACTAAATTGCCATTATCCTCAGATGCACCCTATATACATTTTGCGAAGAAATACTGTCCTAAAGTTATTGCCGCAATCGACGAATATTTTTAAACACACGAATTTATAGTTATTGTTTTGGAGGTATATCATATTTTAGTTTATATATTATTTTTTAAGGAATATTTATTAATATACTGGTTGTGCTTGGTTTCACAAAGTTCCCATAATTCAAAAATTTACTTTGATGGCTACTCGATTATTAATGGCTATAATATATAGTAAAATTCCCAAACAATTACAATTCTCACAGCCGAAAGCGGGTTTTTAAAAATAATTCATCCACTAATAGGGTCCTATATGATGTTGGTTTCTTTTCCCGGATATTTACTTCTCTAATAGGTTGTGGACAATGTTTTTACTTCAGGTCACTGGACGTTTGGCTGATACTGGGCTCGAAATTTGGAATTTTCTGTAAATCGTTAAAACGAAAAACTGTACGCGAATTCTGGCAATATTAACTCAAACACACTGTACAATGTTTGAAAATGCTACTGACTGCGCCAATTACAATTCTCACGGCCGAAAGCAGGGTTTTAAAAAACTTTTAATAAAATTTATTTGGTATCTGTTTATTACGAGCAAAGTAACCACTACCAACTAAAAAAACATTGAAAATAATTAAACATCGGTATATTATATACTCTTTTTAATTCTTAGTAAGCATTTTGGATATACCAGTCTCGTAAGTATGTAACCATAATTCGCATAGGCTGTATATATATATATATATATATATATATATATATATATATATATATATATATATATATATATATATATATATATAAGTATTATTAAAATCAGTATAATAAAAATAATGCAGTGGCCATTCTACTTGAGTTCCGAATTAACACAGTTTTGTAAAATCGGACATATCTATATCAACTAGAAATCCGGATGATTTTTAAAATCGTTCTCATATCGTTTTTATATATTATATTATTTTTTAACTATTCATTATCATATGCACACGCCGCATCTTTAAAATTGGTCTTGCTGATACATCTTCAGAGTTAAGTGTCATATAATTATACTGGTCTCAGTGTTGGCGTGTAGATCAAGAATGTTCTTTTCAAACAGTACATATTATAATAGATAAAAGAAACATTGAATCATGAGCCGTTCACTGTACAAATTGATTAACTCCATAAAATAAAAAGAGGGAACATGTGATGATATATTGTACACAAGACATAACATTACAACGTTCAAAATTTGTAATCTTGTGTACTTTATTTAGTGAAGTTTCTACGATAAAAAAGATATCTTTTTCATCTTCTTATGTCATATCCTCATGGGATATTAGTGATCATTCTGGCCCGCATCATATACAGCGATTCTAAACAATTCTAAGGATGTTGTACCAGTCCTCTGCTTCAGATTTTTCAGCCAAGAGATCCGTTGTCTACTCGGTAAACTGCTTCCTTTTAATTTACCCTGCTTGATAATTTGTAGAATATATTTATCATTTCTTATCACATTACCAAAATATGAGAGTTTTCTATCTTTACTGTGCATATCTTGGACTATTCTTTGTAAAATATTTTCGTTGGTAACTCGATGCTTCCACGAAATGCACGTCATCTTTCGGTAACACTACATTTCGAATGCTGTTATTGGAACATAACCTATAATATTATTAACTTAAATCATTTTTCGTTGCTCACAATTTTCCAACGAATACTATAGTAACTGCACAATACTACTTTCTTCCCGGAAATTTACAGAGGGGATTAAGGTACCACATATACATCAATGCACATTGTGTTTCCGATATTAAGATGAGTTGGTATAGTATTCTCTGGAAGAAATGTAGATATTATAATGTATTTATGGTAATAACGCAAAAATGAAAAACAAAGTTACGATAGTTTTTGTAGTTTTTGTTGGCAGAGTCGATATATTATGTTAGGAATATATTTAACTGAACTTTAATGATTAACTAATTAATTTAATAATTAATCAAATAATATAAGTTTGTCCGGAATTTTAGTTGATAATACATTGAATTTGCGAAAAAAGAAACAATGAATGCACATTTGGCGGTTATTTCTTACATGCTTTCTAACAATTATTATATTAGGTTTACACTCACTACTAAGAATTTCATGAATACTTTTGAACATATTCATTAAAACTAGTTTTTGTATTGATATTTTTATAAATGCAATGTCATTACACTAATGAGAATCTCATGTAAGTATTTCTTTTTAACTCATTGTAAAAAGACAAGTATTTTTATTGATATTTACATACCTACAATCTATATTTTTTGTGCAAAAGACATTGAATTAAAAAAACTTGAGAATATTTTTACTTAAATTATAAATATGGTATTATTTTTTGTTATTAACTTTTGTAATATTTTGTTGATTATGCAAAAATAATTATAAGATTGTTTATTAATCAAATTATATTTCATTCCGAACCTTTCTCCTTAGACATGTATTTTAGTACTAGACAAAACACCAGGCAATGAAAATAAATATCAAAAGTATTGAAAACACTTGATCCAAACAAATGATCCATGCAAGACACTACCTAACTTATTAGATGTTAGGTCTTTTAGAGGAGCAAACATAGATTGTGATCACTATTTAGTTAAAGCACAATTTAAAAAGAGAATTTCCAATTTAAAAAAAGGAGATCGAGAAAGGGAGAAACAAAATCGACATTAATAAACTCGAAGATCCAGACATTGCAAATGTATACAGACAGCAAATATAAGATCAAATAAGGACAGAAAACTTAGAAGAAGACATTAACCAACTATGGGCAAATATACCAGATATTGTGTTACAGAAATCGGTTGAAATATTGGGCAAACCCAAGTCAGAAAAAAGAAATCATTGGTTTCATCATGAGTGCGAAATGGCTACAGATAGAAAGATTGCAGGATATCAAAAAACTAAAACTATCGGCGCAGGTTGTACACGGAGAAAAAAAAGAGTATAAACGTCTTAGGACAGTGGACAAACGTATCCATCGACGCGCGACGTAAGAAGAGTAAATACGAACAAGAACACTCTCAATGAGATTCAAAATTTATTCAATAAAAATAAAACGAGGAAATGCTACAAATCCTCAAATAAGAGCCGTCGAAAATTTAAACTACGATTAAAAATTTGTAAAGAAACTAACGGTGAAATTCTACATGATAAAAACTCAGTTCTTAACAGATGGGCACAACATTTCAGCGAACATCTCAATATAACCGATATTGAAGGATGTTACAACATAGACAACCAACAAAATCTACAACGTCAACTACACAGTGAAGACCCATCAAGAGAAGAAGTTGAAACCTCAATACTCCGGGAGTATTGGATTATAGGAAGTGTAGAACTTCCAAATTTCAGAAGAACTGAAAGAGAAGTGATGAAAAAAAATACTAAAAATAGGGCTAAGCTCAGAGGAACAAATTTAAATGGCCAAAGAGACACTAAATCTCAAGTGAGTGTTCGGGCTAGCTTCAATGCACTGGATTGTGGCTTTAAAGATATAAACAACAATAACAAGAGATAATGAGCTAATGAGACAAGAAAGAAATGAGACCTGGTAATATCAAACGTGATACAACTGAAGAAGGTCACTGGGAATAAATTTATAGAAAGAGAACAATAAGAAGAGAAAAGAAGGGCGCCAACTCAACGATAGTTGAGATTTTGAAGTAACAAATGAATCTGGAGATAATACTCTGAAATACAAAAATACTAAATAATAATCTTGTTTTGCTATGTTATATACTGGTTAGTAGAACTGAAATAAAACTCAAAATAGCAACAATAAATATATTTATAAAAAAATGTATATAGGTATATGTGTATAAACAATTTACATATAATGCAAAGCCAAATAACAGTGGTAGTGGATGGTGTACACATACAATGGGACCTAATAGCCCCTCAACAAACGAATAGTCACTACCACTGGCCAAATAAAATATGAAATATTAGTATAAACCAAGAATAGTCCGTAGGGTAGCCTAAGTCTTAACACTAAGGTTAGTAATTTAGATTTAAATAGTTCTACTAAAATGAGAAATAATTACTGTATTGTACAGATATCAACAATGATAACTCTGTTACAATTCTATTAAATATATTACATCCAAAAAGTGAGTTGTTCCATACTCATTATATCATATTTAAAAAAAACCACATTAAATTTATGTCCCTCTCTCAATATCAAATTGTATTATATCAAATGTATTGTATTAACAAAAATATTATATAAAAAAAAATGAGTTTGGTCAGACTCTGTATATCCTATTTAAAAACCCAATAAAACATGTAATGTATTTTCTTCTCCCCAATATTTTAGAATTAGATTATATCAAAAATTAAATTATCACAAAGGTATTCACCTTATCATATGCATATGAAAAGTTAACAGTAAATAGATAGTAATACAAAAAAAAAATTACACAGTCAAACAACTTATCTTTACAGCCCCATAAGTCCATAGGAAAATTCCTCTTGGCACGGTTACATCAGTTTGTGGCTGTAAGGACAAACCCAGGGGAGTCTAATTTAGTCAAACCAGGCACTGGTCTATCTGGAGTGACCGCAAAATCCAGGAGAATTGCTAACTATTTAAGGATTCAAAGTTACTAATATCCTTGAGGGAATATTCTCAAGAGAATACTCTCAAGTGAAGTGACGGAATCTAAAAAGGTTATGTAATTTAACAAATGTAATTTAATAGGTGTAGCAGCATGGATTGACTGCACCAAAACAAAACATCAATCAAAACATTAGGTTATGTCAACATGTCAGAATTTCCGAATTTACTTCGTAGATATGACAGGCTTGCGCCATGAAAAGAACATGCGCAGAATACAGAAGGCTGTACCACATTTGTAGAACCTTTTATATTCCACCAAAAAAAATTAGATAAAAAGAACCAAAAAAACTTAATGATAACGACATGGACTAAAACAGAATTTAAGTTTAACTATATAAAAAATGACCTTATGTTCTTTGTAAGTAAATCAAGGAAATTTTATATTTAAATTATTTCGGAACTCAAAAATAAATCTCTAAAGAAATACTAAATACAATGATAAATTTGATTGTATGATAAAGAGATAATACGTATAAAATGATTTACTTACATGGAGTCGCAGCACGCCAAAAAAATCTTCCTTTTATGTGGAACTCTTTAGATTATTGATTTTAAAAATTTTACTTATTATTATTACTAAGATATGTATTTGATTTATGAATTAATTTATTCTTCCCCAAATTATCTTCCTTGCTCCAATTCCGTCACTTTGAAGGTGAAAAATTTCACCGGTTGACGTGGCTGCGTAGAGTTCTGACCAAAACTGATCGTTCCGCTTCCGCATAAAATCGATCTTCCTTTCAAAGCGATAACAGCGCGTGGGTGGAGAAATGTCGATTTAAAAATCGATCACAGGCGGGTTATAAGAAAATTTCTTAAGGGGTTTAAATTGGACTAGTCAGTAGCGTAAACGCTACAAAGTGTCAAATGCCATCCTAAAACTCAAAGGCAATAAAGCCCCAGGAATCGATGAAATCTGTTCGGAAATGTATAAAAAAGATGGTGATCAACTTTTTGCAGCAATCTATAAACTAATCGTACTTATATGGCAGAATGAATGGGCACCAGAAGAGTGGCTAAAGGGAATAATATATCCGTTGCATAAAAAGTGTGATCAACTGGAGTGTACGAACAATATAGATTTACTGCTGGAAAGCCCACTACACATCAAATTCAAGCACATAGGCAGATTCTAGAAAAGTTACTAGAATATAAGATAGATACATCCATCTCTACGTCGACTTCAAAACAGCCTTTGATAGGGTGAAAAGAACTGCATTATATAATGCAATGATAGACTTTGGGATTCTCTCTAAGTATAAGTTAAGTTGACCCAACTAACAATGCAAAATGTAAGCTCATGCGTTATAATTCAAGGAGAAAACTACGTTCTTTGACATTAATAATGGTCTAGACAGGGTGACGCACTGGCGTGTCTCCTCTTTTAATATTGCATTGGAAAAGGCAATCAGACAAATAAATATTAACTTTGAAAAATAAGGCTATTATCGAGCAGAAGTTAATTAAATCTAGCCCAAGTACTTTCGCTTAAAATAGCATCTTCAGGGGCATTTCGTCAAAATATAAACTACCCGGCAAGCGTAGAATGTGGAAACATTAATAATAACATAAAATTGTACAAAACACTACACTAAAACGAGGACAAACAGTTTAAAATTACTTTAAAGATTCTACGCTACATTCTTTGTCAGTATCTAGAGGGATAATGAATAAATAAATATTAGAATGAATGGAACTATTTTTAATAGATCGACGCAAATTCTCGCATACGCTGACGATATAGTTATAGTAGGCAGAAGTATGAGAGACATGGTGCAATGTTTTACAAGACTTGCGGACGCTGCAAGTGAATTTGAACATGTGGTAAACGAGGATAAAACCAAATATATGTTGGGTTCTAAAAACCCCCGAATTATTCAACAGAGAAAATAAATTAACAACCAGATCTTTGAGCACGTCAAAGAATTCACATATCTTGGAACGCTAGTAAACGCAACAAATACGACAAGCGACGAAATAAAAAGAAGCATAGCAATAGCAAGCAGAACTGTTTATTGGCTTCAGAAACATTTAGAAATAAAAATATGAAACCTGCAGTGAAGCTCAATATATAGAAGACCTTAATAAGACCGGTTTTGATATATGGGGCTGAAACGAGGACCTTATCTCAAAATCATGAAAGACTTCTTGGTATTTTTGAGAGAAAAATTAAAAAAAAAAATGTTGGTGTCGAAAATGAAAATGGTTCATGAAAATCATGAATCAAGGTTCCGAACTAATGCCAGAAATAAATGTAGATGAGATTTGACAAACGTTAAGAAAAATGAAGTTACAAAGCCCCAGTAGAGGATGGAATTGTAATAGAAGCTATCGTAAATGGAGGAGATATGCTAGTAAATCAATTAAGGAAACTGTTTAATCTATGTTTGCACCAAAGTGAGGTGCATAAAGAATGGAACAATGCTATAATCATCCTTTTACATAAAAAAGGAGATAGAACGGACCTAGAGAATTATAGACCTATTAGCCTGTTAAATTACATATACAAGCTCTTCACTAGGTTAGTGATATCAAGATTGGGGAGAAAAGTAGATTTCTACCAACCGAGAGAGCAAGCAGGATTCCGATCAAATTATGGTACCAATGATCACCTCCATACAGTAAAGACGCTCATTGAAAAATCTATAGAATACAACAAACCTCTTGTCCTCACTTTCATAGATTTTCATAAAGCGTTCGACAGGATCGAAATAGATAGCCTTATAGAAGCAATGAATGATAGCAGGATTGACCTAGATATAGTGAACTTATTTACAATATT